TTGGCTCTCTTCTCTCTTGTTTTCTCCCAAGGGCTCACCAATACAGCTAGGACATGTAAGACAGTCAGTGGAGATTTTGTTCCATCTTGGTACTTGATTCCTCCGTGAAGGCTGAAGATTTTTCCCCTCAATTCTCGTGCATCCCTTGTTTCTGGATGCTTCTCTTGTAATTCCTGGTGTTATTCTGCAATCAGAGGGGGGGTGGGCTTGAGGGGCAGAATGGCCTGATAACACACATGTACGGATGCATGCAAGCGCGCACACACACANCTTCTCTTGTAATTCCTGGTGTTATTCTGCAATCAGAGGGGGGGTGGGCTTGAGGGGCAGAATGGCCTGATAACACACATGTACGGATGCATGCAAGCGCGCGCACACACACACACACACGGACTTTGGGCTCTGCCAAGAACTGTCAGGAGTCACATTCCTTTCTGGGCCTTGGTTTCTTTATGCCTGTGTGGCTGAGCTGGCAACCAGCTAAAGGCCCCTCTGTTTTTAATATTCTTTGATTCTAATTAACCAACAAGAATATTTTAGGTCCTGTGAACAAAATCTGAAGACTTAATTTTCTGTCCAAACTTCACCCCATCTTACTCAGTGTCTTTGGGATGATCATTTACCTTCTCTGGGCCTTAGTGCCTTGCTTACATGTTAAGTGATGATGAGAGTCACCTGATCTGGGCAAGCTGGGACATAAATAGGGTCCTAGATGTAAAAGTGCTTAGCATAGCTCTTGGCAAAGTAAGTGTCTTAGTCAGTGTGGGCTGCTATAACAAAATACCTTAAACTGAGTGGCTTAAACAACAAACAATTATTTATAGGCTGGGAAGTCCAAGATCAAGGTGCTGGGAGATTTGGTTTTTGGTTAGGGCCATCTTCCTGGCTTGAAAAGGGCAACCATTTCATTGTGTGTTCATATGACCTCTTTGTGTGTGTGTGTGTGTGTGTAGAGACAGAGAAGAGAGAGAACTCTGGGGTCTCTTCCTCTTTTTGTAAGGACAATAATTCCTTTATGGAGCACTATCCCCATAACCTCATCTAACTCTCATTATTTCCCAAAGGCCCCACTATAACATTGGGGGTTAGGGCCTAGACATATGAATTTTGGGGGGAAACACACATTCCATCCATAACAGTAAGGATTAGTCAGTATGGTTGAATTCATTTGTTCACCTGAGAAGAATCAACAGACTGCCTACCATGTAGTCTGATTCTACCAGGGAGGTATCAGATGTGGACCCTGCCTTCCAGTCAGGTAGCACAGAGATTCTAGATTAAAGGTTGGGAGGCAGCAGCCAGGAATGAGACTAGGGAGAGCAGATCCTAGGGTCTGAAAAAGAAATAAAGCAGAGGGGTAGGGCAGTGGTGAGTGGGGAGGACATGCCTAGAATCTCAAAGCAACTCTTGATGAGTAAGCATTGACGGGCCTCAGAACATTCTCTGACCCTTCAGAACTGAGAATGCATGTCTGTGGTGGAACAGCAGCAAGAGGGATCAGAACATGGAATCTCCGTGCCTGATTCAGGGGCTCTGGATGGTAGAGATATCTGAGATTTTTGATGGGGTGGGGCTGAGTGTGAGGAAGCCCAGGGGTAAAGTGCTTCACTCCTTCAGGGTCTTAATCATTCCGGCTGGGAAACTGGAAAGTACTGAGGGGTTTGCAGGGGAGGGAAACTGTGATAACAAGGCATTTCATCCTAGATAAGGATAATAATAGTATGATGACACCCTAAATTAGTGTAAGGACATTTTGCAAGGGGAGGGAATTGGTGCCCTTGTAAAGTGTCATTTTTCTTAAGATTTCAAGATTCCTTCTTGGCGTCATTTAAAAACTCTTGAAAAAATACAGTATGCAGGTCACTGGTCAGTTACATGTAACGATGCTGCCTTCTGCTTCCGCTGAATTACCATCATGAGAACATGAGCAAGTCATTAAAATCTTATGTTAGATGTAGTTATTTCATCTGGAAATGGTGACCTTTGTGATCCTGCTGGGTACTTTCACTTAAATATTAGATGGTTCCCAACACTACTCACAAAAATATAGTAGTTATTGGTAGCATTTTTGCTCGACATCTTGTGGGGGTTCAGAATGAGTCGCCCAAAGATGTGCTTGTGGTAGGAGGATTATTTTGAGCTAAAAGCAACCCGGACCCTGCAGATTCAAGAAACATCTGTCCCTCCTCCCAACTCCTCCTTTACTGCCTGGAATTTAAATTAGGGGCCTGGCCCATGATAAGAGTTATCACCAGAAATAACTTTTTATGACCTATCTACATGGCAGGGCAAACTTCTAATTACTGAACTAGTGCTCTCCCTGCAATTATCTTTTGAAGGCCCAAGGTGCCTTCCTTTATCCTTAGCTCGGGATATGTATTATTTTCCCTTTCTGTCCCCGAAACTCTCAGGTACTTGGGGGGGGGGTCTCATGTGGGGTTCCTATAAGCATGTATGTAATTAAATTTGGTCATTTTCTCTTTCTAATTGGTCTCATGTCTATTTTATCGTTAGGCCAGTGGAAAGAACCTTGAAAGTAGAGAGAAGTTTCTTCGTCCGCCACAACTTGTTCTCCATTTTTGCTCGGGGTGAGATGATGGGGAGAGTCTCTCCATTACGGGCGTTTTCATGTCTCCGCCAGAGTCCCATTTTGGGCCGTTTATTTAGGTCGGTTCGCAGCGCTCTGCAGTACAGCTCTCTCGAGGGTGACCGCATGGGGTCAGTAACTTGATTTTTCAGAATGCAGCCGGAAAGAGAAGCCGGTGTCCGGAGACGCAGGTGCCAGCGCCCCAGACGCGGCTGCCGGCCGGGCCCAGTCAGCGGGCGGCGCGCACGCGCCGTAGATCCCAGGGGAGGCGCACGCGCGGGAGC